GGAAGCCAGCCACTCGCTGACCGAGGTCAATTGCGTTAAATCCACCGCGTCCGGCGCTAGTGGATTGGTGCCCCTGTCGAAAATTTCAGTGTTCACATTACTTTCCGATTTTGCGATTTTTCTTTTCTTTCTTTTTTTTTTTTATATATATATATATATATTTTTATCGAGGGATCGAGGGGAGGAGGGACACTATATGCGAGATCAAAGACCTGGAATTGATTCGATCCTCCAGTCTCTAGGTCGTTGATCGGATCTAAGAACAAGGAAGGTGGAAAAATGGAAGCGTCTTGAAACGAGATCGAGAAGTTTACACAGTTTCGTATAAAACGGTGTGGTAAAAAAGGCCACGAGAGAGAAATACACGACGCTTTCCTTTTTTCCAGTTTCATTTCCGAGATTCTATTATCGAGATAGATTTTTTTTTTATTATAGGGTGAGGGGAGATTAGCCGTTTCCATGATCGCGTTTTTGATTATCGAAATGGCTATTCTTGTGATATACATAATCCTAGATCATCCGTTGGGGCAAAAGGGGTTGGTACAGAAATGTGGCCGAATGATATTTAGAAGCGGCAATTCCTTATAAAAAAAAGGGGGGAAAAAAAGCAAGAGAAAAATAAATTTTTTTTACAAGGAATCACCCTCTTGCGGATACCTTTCGATCTCATTCTGTATCTTCAAGTATATGTATATACACTAATATTCATTAGTTAAGAACATTCATAGATATAATCGAGTATTTCTTGCTCGTAGAAAGTCATTTCTGTAAAATTGAATATTCCATCGTGTAAAAAAATCTACGATTTCTATGTAAATGTGTACAATATATATGAAAGACGTTCTGCGAGCGAAAGTAAAAAATTAAGGAATTGAAAATGATAAAGATGGCTGGTTAAAAGGGTAAAAGAATGTGAGAGATTCAGAATCGAATTTCGGTGGTTTACTACTCATTTCTAGGATAAGATTATATTCCATTGGTGTCATTTACTTAATAGGCTATTAAAGACAGATTTACGGGTAGATACGGTATGAAACGGGGGGTCGTAGAAGGGGGTCGGTAAAAAATATCTTTATATACATTTTGACCGAGGCTCGATAAATTTTCACGACCGCGCGATAAAAATTCTTCTATTTCGATTCGCGTATCGACCCGGTCGGTAACATCGATACATTAATACGTTGAAGACAATACGTGACAATACCGTCAGCGCAGAAAAGCAAAATAAACTCGTACGTATGAATGATGGAAAATCGATCGAACGAACGAACGAAGTAAGATGCGAGATCGTGAAAATTCGAGCCATCGTGGATTAACGATAGTATTAACGATGGTGATCGATAGTGATACGAGAGTGAGAGTTGCGAATGGCGGTAATGAGAGCACTATGACGGTGTGATTACGGTTGATGATATACAAGTTGAAGAGATCAGCTGGATAACATATTACATATTAGAATATGAATGGATAATGGTGCGTATGAAGCAAGCAGTGCGATACGAATACTAATAGGAATACAAGCAGAGCAAATGCTGTCTACGTGGCAGCAATACTCATGATAATTCGAACGAAGCAAATGGAGCAAGAAGGCAGCAAGGCAATATCGATGGATGGCAACGATGGTGGCGCGCGACGCGTTTCACATTTGTACAAATTTCTGTCCGTCGATGATCGAAACATCTTTCTTTTTTTTCTCTCTCTCTCTTTCTCTCTCTCTCCTTCCTGCCTTATTGCTCCTCCCTCGCTCCGCTACGTTTCTTTATTTTTGGTCGACTGAAAGCTGTTCTTGATTGTTTACCTTTTCCTCAAATGCACGTTGGAGGATGTCGACGAGGCGGGTGGGGGTGGGGGTGGAGCACCCCTTTCCCTGATTCTGACAATTGTTAGCATTTGTTAGTGCGATGGAGGTCACACACGTTTGGTGTGTGCTTGCGTGTGCTGTGTGTGTGTGTTTCTGTGTGTATGTGCACGTGCGCGTGTGTACATATGTGTACGTGTATGTGTGTATGTGTGAATATTGCGTACGTATCGCATACGTTTTCTCAACTCATATGGCCTAATTTCTTTCGAGTGTATACGGCATGTTTGTGCAAATGTGATCGTGTGCTTGTGCGAAGCTTGCGTTTATCGCGATTGTCGATGTAAGCTCTAAGATAAGTAGCGCATATCGATTCGATTTCCGCGAGCATAACGCGTCTAAGCTGATTGTCCATTTTGATTTTCGCTTCTCTCTCTCTCTCTCTCTCTCTCTTACATACACGCATACACACTGTCTCTTTCTCTCTCTCTCTTCTCTTCTCTCTTTCTCTCGATGGATCGATCGAAAAAAAGAAAATCGTTTAAGAATAATCCGTCACTTGAAAGGAGCGCGACAAACCTCTCTCGATTACAACTCGATCATTTTTCCTGCAATGGTGTGTCGTGACGCATTCCTTCTAAGGATCGATTTTTTGGGAGATTTTTCTCTATAACGTAAAGATAGGTACGACGTGTGTGTGGTCACGAATCGAATGCCAGGCGTGAGAACAGCCTGGGTTATCCGTGTATCCGGTTTCTATGTACGGTTTCCTGACTTTTCGTCTTCGTTTTCAAGTAGAAAAATACTATTCTAATCTGGTCGAATCGGTAGTTCGCGTGATTAAATGCTAATAAGTCTTTTGCAGTTTTTGTTGCGGTAAAGTCGGTGACGTTATAATAAATATCATATCGATATATATATATACATTATAAAAAGTGGATATATATATATATATATATATATATATATATCCGCTTTTTATAATGTATAATATATAATGTTTACGTATACTCGTGTAAGTTATATATATATACATTACGTATATCGAGAATTAGAAAAACATCTGAAAGACTATGACAACATGGTTTCGCGATTAAAATCCACTGTCCGGATTAAGCACCGAGCTTAAATCCAATCTATATATTGCTATTCGTTGGTTCGATTCGTCCCCTAATAAATTCTTATTATCTCTACGAAAAAACTGCAAAATACATAAATGTATACATATATATATGTGTGTATATATGTATATATATATATATATACACACATATATATATGTATATACTCTCTCATAAAATTTTCCATTTAAATCCCTCTAACTAGAATCATAAATATTCCTCTACGTGGTAGCTAAGATCGA